AGTATCCGACTTGTGTCCATTTTTCAATTCTGTTGTCTCTCTCTCATACCTTGGAGGGCGTTCTTAGTACTGATTAATATTCAAACTGTGATAGCACAAGTAATTTGAAAAGTACCAGCACTAACTTTTTCTCGTTTTGAAAGTTCTCATTATTTATCCTATCAAAGAAATAGCAAAATGGCGTACACGCATGGGTAACGGATACAATAAACACACTACGAGAAGAGGTGATGAAACTACTTGAAAGAGTTGGATACCTCAAAGGCAATGAGAACAGACTACGTTTCATCATGGGTTCTGAAAGAAGAGAAAGCACTGTGTTAAGTGCTATCGAAAAAGAAATGGATAGAGGGCAATTGCCAGGTGTATAAGAAAATAAAATACAAACAGCTTTAAACTACAGGCCAGGATCATTGAAATGCATAGCGGAACACAGTTATATATACGACAACAAGCAAGGGTTTTGAGATGGAGCATCTTTCCTCATAATCCTGCTTGAATTCTATCACTATATAACAAAAGTGAGGCAATAAAGAGAAGGATGGATGGATTACTTATTCATGACCCACAAAAATAAAATTTGACTCTATACTGCACAAAATACCTAGCCAAAACTAAATGAGCAAGAAAGGATAACAGGGAAAGACTACAGAGGAAGTAAACGAAGAGTAATTGAATGGGAAAGGCAGCAATATGTGAAAAGTCGAGTTCCACAAGGATCAGTGACGATGTTGGTATATGCGAATGACATGCTGGAAGACAGAATATGTGTCCTTATTCGCAGATGATGTAGCAGTAATGACGAAAATAAAAGCTGAAGTAAATAAAGAAACAATATGATGAATATAAGTTACAAAATCGTCGCTGTAACAATTAACAAATAAGTTACATTTTCTGCTAGGAGACTTGAGACGACGTTTCTGTCCATCCTGGACTATTATAAATTAATAATGGTTCATGACAGATAAAAATGTTGTCTAAGGTTACTACTTCAAAATGTGGTTTATTTGTGAAAACAAAAGCAATAACTAGAACTACACAACTTGCCTGACTGGCAAGATAAGTGGTTATTGGAATTTAACTCAATTAAATGCAAGACTATATGAGTAGAAGTAAGGGGAACACGACTGAAAACTGAGTTTAAACTCTGGAGACAAGAAAAGAAGTACCTTGGCTATAGACACACCAGATCAAAAATATTTACAGCAAATGCGCTTTTGCTAAATCTAAGATTAAATTTCAGAAATAAATCTTAACCTGAGTCTTCCATGACCCGATATATACGGTAGATACCAAGTGCATCAGGTAGTACGCAGCATCAGCTGGGAACTCTCACTGAAAAAGCATATTAGGAAATTATAGAAAGTGTAGAAATTCGCAATGAGACCAGTCTAGGAGCTAAGAAAAATGAATTATAAGGTGAGACTAATGGAAATGAACACGATGACATTAAACAGAACCAAGGAAAACATGATAACAAGGTACAAAACATTCAGACGACTTGACAGGGTGGATAGAGATGGAATGGGAGGCGCAGAACAAGTACACGAGAGCACAGCTGAAGGATAAAGAGGATGAGACTCATAGTTGTCAGGACGCAATTCTTCAGCCTCAGGATGGTCAGGAATTGTAACGACTTGGACAAAGATATGGTGGATACTGACTAAGTATAGTTTAAGAGGGAGTGAAGTCAGCAGCGTTAAGAAGCAGGGCCAGCAGCTGAGACTTAGCCTATTTAACCACAAAGAGATGGGTACATATAGGAGAATGCTCATCCAAATTTTTATTAGATGTGCCTAGTGTACTGATAACTAAATGATGGTAAAAGTGAGGAGCAGCTCAGGTCTGGGTCCAGGTCCACGACAGAGTGGATACAGAGCTTTGTTAAACTGACAGACATACAGACATGTCTGGGGACTTAAGACTACAGTAAAGCTGGAGAGGATGGACTCAGACTAAGTTTCTTCCCAAACTATTACACTATGACATGTAGATAAAGCTAGTGACAAATGATGAAATAATCAGAGGATGACAGGGAAATATTCAAGGAACTTGAAAGATTCCAAGAAGTAATCATGACAAAAAAAAAAAAAAGAACACAAACGAGGATAGAGAGGCCTTCTAAACAATCTTAAATAATACAGGTGTGACAGAAGAGTTAAAACAAAAACACTTAAGGGAAAACATGTCACAGGCAAGGGAAACAGATGGAAATCTCACCACAGAAACTGAAGGAGACGAAAATGATATTATATAATTAACTAATCAGATCTAAAACAAATTACTGAAGTTTTTCCATAAAGCTAGAAAACTGCAAATGTAATACTAATCTTCAATACAAAGGAAACATGAAGCACGAGACTACAAACCATTATCGTTGATATAGATTACCCGCAAAGTAAAGGAAAAATTAGACTTAATAAACAGAATGGAAAATATAAACTGCCTAACCAATCTGAATTCTACAAGACAACAAAAATCCTTCAGGAGAGACAGAGTAAACGATGGGTGCACTGGTTATTTCTTAAGAACATAAGAACACAAGAAAAAAGGAACACTGCAACAGGCCTACTGGCCTATGCGAGGCAGGTCCAATTCTCCCACCGGCTTAAGCCAATGCCTTGACCTAGTCAGGTTAGTCACGTCACTTCAGGGAGAAGCACGGCATCCGACCTAGTAGCATAAGCTAGTCAGGTCCAACTCCCACCCACCCACACCCACTCATGCATTTATCCAACCTATTTTTAAAACTACACAACGCCTTAGCTTCTGTGACGGTACTCGGGAGTTTGTTCCACTCATCGACAACTCTATTACCAAACCAGTGCTTTCCTATATCCTTCCTGAATCTGAACTTTTCCAATTTAAAATCATTGCTGCAAGTCCTGTCTATGTTAGACATTTTTAGTTCACTATTCACATCCCCTTTATTAATTCCTGTTTTCCATTTATACACCTCAATCATATCATCCCCTAATTCTACGCCTTTCTAGAAAGTTGCAGATTCAGGGCCCTTAGTCTATCCTCATAGGGAAGATTTCTGATACAAGGGATCAACTTTGTCATCCTCCTTTGTACGTTTTCCAGTGCATTTATATCCATTCTGTAATACGGTGACCAAAACTGCGCAGCATAATCTAAATGAGGCCTAACCAAGGATACATATAGTTGAAGAACAACCTGAGGACTTCTATTATTTATACTTCTAGATATGAAGCCAAGGATTCTGTTAGCTTTATTGCGAACACTAATGCACTGTTGTCTTGGTTTCAGATTACTGCTAACCAGAACTCCTAAATCCTTTTCGGAATCCGTAATAATAAGATCTACATTATTTAGTTTATAAGTGGCATGGTTATTTTCCTGTCCAACATTTAGAACTGTGCATTTGTCTATATTAAACTGCGTCTGCCACTTTTCCGACCACTGCATCAGTCTATTCAAATCATTCTGGAGTGCTCTAATATCCTCATTAGAATAAACTGGAGGCCCTATTTTGGTGTCATCAGCAAATTTGCTTATGTCACTATTTATTCCCTCATCTATGTCATTTATGTAAACTGTGAACAACAAGGGGCCCAACACTGACCCCTGTGGAGCACCGCTTGTGACGTGCCCACATCCTGATTTCTCCCCGTTTATGCAAACTTTCTGCTGCCTATTCATCAACCATGCCTCTACCCAGGAAGAAAATTCTCCTCCTATTCCGTGTGCCTTAAGTTTCCTCAATAGCCTCTGATGTGGAACTCTATCGAAAGCCTTACTGAAGTCCATATACACAATATCATATTCAGTAACATGATCTACCTCCTCAAACACCTTAGTGAAGAAAGTTAGTAAATTCGTAAGACAGGAACGCCCCTTTGTAAAACCGTGTTGAGATTCATTAATCAATTTATGCCTTTCAAGATAGCTACGAATTGCTTCGGCAATTACTGATTCCATAAATTTACCAACTATGGAGGTAAGGATTATTGGTCTATAGTTCGAAGCTAAGGACCTGTCACCTGCCTTGTAAATAGGTATTACATTTGCCATTTTACACTTGTTTGACACTGTGCCAGTTTGAAGTGATATATTGAAAAGATTAGCCAAAGGTATGCTAAATTCCTCTTTACATTCCTTTTAAACCTTTGCAAACAGTTCATCAGGGTTAGGTTTTAATTTCTCTATTTGTCTGAGGACCATGTCACTAGTTACCCTAATCGTGCACAGTTTATCCTCCTGTTCTACATAATTTATTATTTCTGGAATTTCGTTACTATTTTCCTAAGTAAAAACTGAGAGGAAGTAGGTATTGAAAAGTTCAAACATTTCCTTATCACTGTCAGTGATCTGACCAGAGTTACTCTTAAGTGGACCTATCTTGTCCCTAATCTTACGTAATCATACGTAAAACCTGTACTGGAGTGCGTGGCGCCAGCATGGAACCATCATCTCATCAAACATAAAAAGAAAATTGAGCATAGTTATAGGTTTACTACAAAGTTGGTCTCACAACCACAAGACTGTGATACGAAAATAGTTTAAGAGAGCATTAACTTGTACTGACAGAAGACTTGGAGAACCTTAGAAGACCTGATCTCAAAATATAAAATGCATATAGTTATAAAGTTGACAAAATAGGGAATTAGACATGGAAACAACACAAAAAATATTTCAGTGTTAATGAATAATTCTATAATTCATAAAGAAGAGATGTGAAGGCCAAGTCGGTACATAGATTCAAATGTAGATAATAATATAACAGCCTAAAGAAAATCACGGAGTAAACCACGCAGTTATTGTAAATATAAAGCGGGTCCCAGGAGCTGGAGGTCGGCCCCCTCAGATACAATTATGTAAATACAATCGAATACACACTCGTACATTCATACTTTATATAGATAAGGATTTATTCATTAACCATGGTAAAAGAGCTAACGTTTTATCATTATGAGAGAGACAGTAAGTATGAGGGAGTCCTTGGGTGGGCTGGCTACCCGGATGTGACCACTCACGTCTTCTGATGTAGTCCAGCCACTGGTCACGTTCCTGGGAAGAGACGGCGGCGATGTAGAGGACGAACTGCTCCTTCTCCTCGGACAGATAACACAGCTGAAAGACCCAGTCTCGTTGGAAGACAGCACTGTCCACACACTCCACCACCACCACTTTGCTCAACTCCACACGACCGCGCTCCTTCCGACGACCACTCTGCAAGCACACAAACACGCACACACGCCGCTTTTAGTGTACTGCACTAACATAAGAAATATAAAAATCAAAACAGTTATTTATATATTAACATGAACTAAACTTAATGTTGCTGTAAAGCATCCAAACCTCAACAAACTTCAGCATAAACAATCAAATTGTAACAGTCAGGAAGAATACAATGTATCGGAGAGTTTGACGAAATGCAAGATTATTAACAAATTTCAGGCATCCAATTTACTTATAGCTTCAGCTCCACACGCACACACACACACACACACACACACACACACACACACACACACACACACACACACACACACACACAAACACACACAACACTGTGTGGGTGTGATGATGTGGTTCTGTGCTTTAATTACATAGTTGAGCTACAAGTGGTGAGGGTAGCAGGAATAGGATGGGAAAAACCAAACTACAAAAGGGGGACTACACAGGCATGAGGAACTTCCTGCAATATGTTCAGTGGAAGAGAGATCTGGCAGGAAAGCCAGTAACAGAAATGATGGACTATGTGACAACAAAACGCAATAGGCAGAGGAGAGGTTTGTTCCCAAGGGAAACAGAAATAATGGGAAGACCAGAACGAGTCCTTGGTTCACCCAAAGGTGTAGGGTGGTAAAAACTAAGTGCACCAGAGAATGGAAAAAGTACAGAAGACAAAGGACCCAGGAAAAGAGAGAGATTAGCCAAAGAGCCAGAAACGAATATGCACAGATAAGGAGGCTCAGCAATAATACGAAAATGACATAGCATCAAAAGTCAAGTCTGACCCGAAGCTGTCGTATAGCCACAGCAGGAGTAAAACAACAGTCAAAGATCAGGCAATCAGGCTGAGGAAGGAAGGTGGAGAGTTCACAAGAAATGACCAAGAGGTATGTGAGGAACTCAACATGAGACTTTAAGAAGTATTTACAGTGGAGACAGGAAGGACTCCAGGAATTTAGAATAGGGAGGTACACCAACAAGTGCTGGTTGAAATACACACAACCGAGGAGGAAGTGAAGAAGCTGATACGTGAACTTGATACCTCAAAGGCGGTGGGACCTGACATCTCTCCGTGGGTCCTCAGAGAGGAAGCAGAGATGCTGTGTGCCACTAACAAAAATCTTCAGCACATCCACTGAAACTGGGCAACTACCTGAAGTATGGAAAATGGAAAATGTAGTTCCAGTTTTTAAGAAAGGGGACAGACATGAGGCATTAAACTACAGACCTGTGTCACTTAGGTGTATAGTAGCAAAGTCATGCAGACGATCATCAGGAGGAGAGTGATGGAGCACCTAGAAAGACACAAACTTATAAACGACAACCAGCACGGTTTCAGGGAAGGAAAATCCTGTGTCACAAACCTATTGGAGTTTTAAGACAAGGTAACAGAAGACCCGAGAGAGAGGGGTGGATAAACTGCATTTTCTTGGACTGCAAGAAGGCCTTCGACACAGTTCCTCACAAGAGGTTAATGCAAAAGCTAGAGGATCAGGTATGCATAACTGGAAAGGCACTGCAATGGATGAGAGAATATCTGACAGGGAGGCAACAACGAGTCATGGTAATTGACAAGGTGTCAGAGTGGGCGCCTGTGACGAGCGGGGTTCCACAGGGGTCAGTCCTAGGACCTGTCCTGTTTTTGGTATATGTGAATGACATAACGGAAGGGATAGACTCAGAAGTGTCCCTGGTCACAGATGATGTGAAGTAAAAGAGGAGAATTAAATCGGATGAGGATCAGGCAGGAATACAAAGAGACCTGGACAGGCTACAAGCCTGGTCCAGCATCTGGCTCCTTGAATTTAACCCTGCCAAATGCAAAGTCATGGAGATCGGGGAAGGGCAAAGAAGACCGCAGACAGAGTATAGTCTTGGTGGCCAAAGACTGTAAACCTCACTCAAGGAGAAAGATCTTGGGGTGAGTGTAATACCGAGCACATCTCCTGAGGCGCACATCCATCAGATAACTGCTGCAGCATACGGGCGTCTTGCAAACCTAAGAACAGCGTTCCGATACCTCAGTAAGGAATCGTTCAAGACTCTGTACACCATATACGTTAGGCCCATACTGGAGCATGCAGCACCAGTTTGGAATCCACACCTGGTCAAGCACGTCAAGAAATTAGAGAAAGTGCAAAGGTTTGCAACAAGACTAGTTCCAGAGCTAAGGGGATTGTCCTACGAAGACAGGTTAAGGGAAATCGGCCTGACGACACTGGAGGACAGGAGGGTCAGAGGAGACATGATAACGACATATAAAATACTGCGAGGAATTGACAAGGCGGACAAAGACAGAATGCTCCAGAGATGGGACACAAAAACATGGGGTCACAACTGGAAGTTGAAGACTCCTATGAGTCAAAGGGATGTTAGGAAGTATTTTTCAGTCACAGAGTTATCAGGAAATGGAATAGTCTACAAAGTGACGTAGTGGAGGCAGGAACCACACATAGTTTTAAGACGAGGTTTGATAAAGCTCATGGAGCAGGGAGAGAGAGGACCTAGTAGCAATCAGTGAAGAGGCGGGGCCAGGAGCTATGACTCGACTCCTGTAACCACAAATAGGTGTGTACACACGTGTGTCGGGGCCAGGAGCTGTGATCGACCTCTGCAACCACACCTAGGTGAGTACACACACACAGTCACAGTCGAGAATTTGGAATACCTTGTGGGAATTAACACTGAGGAATGAATAGCAGGTGGGAAAAAGGAGAAACCATATTTCGAAAGGAGAAAGTATTCAAGGATGGAAGAATACCTGAATGCAATACAAAGAGGAAGGGAAGGAAAATATACGAAAGGAGGAATTTCTACGCAGAAAAGGCAATGGTAAGACCAGAGAGAGAGAGAGAGAGAGAGAGAGAGAGAGAGAGAGAGAGAGAAGAGAGGAGAGAGCGTGATTCAAATATACAACGAGGAAAACTATAAGTTAAAAAAATGGAAAAACTCTAGAAAGTGAAGGACAAGAAAAAACAAAAAACAAAAGTGAGCAGAAATTTCAAAAACAAATATGCATGAGAGAAGCTGAGCGACAATTTGAGAATGACAGAGCAGTGAAATCTGAACCGACACCGTTACTTAGTCATCAGAAAAAACGGCAAAATACCAGCTAAAACACTGAAGGAAAAGAACTCACAAAAAATGATAAGACGTTGAAAAAAATGATTTAAGAGGTGTTCTTAGTGGAAAAAACAACTAAATGTCCGAGAGAGAGAGAGAGAGAGAGAGAGAGAGAAGAAGAGAGAGGGGGGGGGGGGAGGGTACACCGTACACTACTTGATACCACACACACAAGAGGAAAATGAGTGAGCTTCATACCCTGAAGGCATTGACTGAGGCCTGACAAGAGTTAACATCAATTCCGCGAGCGGAAGCACTGTCTGAAACGCCAGCTAAAATGTACAAGTCAATGGACAATCTTCGTCTGTTACTTATTCTTGGACCTCAAGAAAGCATCTCACACTGCAAGAAAGCATCTTACACTGCAAGAAAGCATCTTACACTGCAAGAAAGCATCTCACACTGCAAGAAAGCATCTCACACTGCAAGAAAGCATCTCACACTGCAAGAAAGCATCTCACACTGCAAGAAAGCATCTTACACTGCAAGAAAGCATCTTACACTGCAAGAAAGCATCTTACACTGCAAGAAAGTATCTTACACTGCAAGAAAGCATCTTACACTGCAAGAAAGCCTCTTACACTGCAAGAAAGCATCTCACACTGCAATATAGTGAATCAAAAAGGAAGGAAAAGAGAGCAACTGAATAAGAATACAGTGAAAGTCCCATGTGCAAGACCTGGGAGTAATGATGTCAGTAAATCTTACATTCAAGGATCACGATAATGTTGCCGTTGTTACGGCAAGGAAAATGATAGGTTGGATTACTAAAACGTTTAAGACAAAAGATCCTGGCTAAAAAAAAAAAACTGATGTATACTAAAGGCCTCTTCAAGGTATGCGAGATTACTGAACTAGAAAACGTACTAAGAACTTTTACTGATCATATATATTCAATCAAACATCTGAACTACTGGGAACATGAAGCCTCTCGAACTGTATTCTTTGGAACGTAGGCGAGAACGATACATAATAATTTACTCCTGGGAAATCCTGGAAGTACTGCCAGACGGTGCAAAGTACCATCAAAGCACATAAAAATTGAACTCGGTAAGTGTCAGCGGTCCTCAACATCTACTATTGTGCATAATGGAAACTACCAACAAACCTCTGACTGTCTTCAAGAGGTAACTTGATAAGTCAGTTCCTGACCAGCCGGATTGCTGTAAGTTGGATCGCGTGCACCAAGCACTAACAGCCTGGATGATCAAGCCTTGTTCCACCAGGAGTCTTGGTCTGGGACCCGGTCGTAGGGCATTGATCCCGAAAACATTATTCAGATCAGATTAGGTAAGTGAGATGTCAGAATGGATGGGGACAGCAAGTAGGGTTCTACAAGGATTGGTATTGGGAAGAGTACTGTTTTTGGTATATTTAAATGACACACTAGAGGAGAAAAGTCTGATGCATCACAGGTCACGTGTGATATGCCTGTGACCGGTTTTGAGGGTTCATTTACTTTTTCGCCTGCGCTGCAGGCTTCGTCAGTCGATTACAGAGACATCAGCACTAGCGGAAGGCGAACTGGACTAAGTGGTTGATGTAATCAGTCCATCATCCATAATAAAATGAAGAAATGAGATCACTAATTCCACCATCACTTAGTTAACTCCTTCCGTCACCACTGTCTTAATAACACACCTCACCCCACTCTTCCCTCACCCCACTCTTCCCCTCACCCCACTCTTCCTCTCACCCCACACCCCTCCTCACCCCACACACCACTCCTCACCCTACACACCAATCCTAACGCCACACACCCATCCTCAACCCACACACCACTCCTCATCCCACAACCTCCTTCACATCCTATTCACTCTTCCTTAAATTACATTTACAGTCAATAAACCAGCATCACTACACTCGATGTG